CAGAGCTACCTTCGGTCCGGTGGGAGGAGGATGAGCCAGTCTGCTTCCGGAATGATTCCAACCTGGGACGCTCTCTGAGAAAGGTGCACTGTCTGTCGGGTTGAACTGGAAGGTCCTCAATGCCTGGTGTTTCTTCTCGAGAGAAAGACCACCGTGATGCAGCCAACCTTTCATGGTCCCCCCTTACGAGTAGCCGTGAGCATTCCATATGGTTGGCTAACCTGGGTGGTGTCAATGGTGCGCTGGTGGCTATTCACCAAAAGGCTGGTGGTTCATTTAAATTCTTTTGGGAAAAAGAAAAGGTAAAAAAAAAAAAAAAAGCAACTGACCAGACTGGTTGAACCTAGAGAGAGTCCCTGGGCTGTGCCCCTGAGAATCTCTTCACTCTTTGAGCCGAAACCAATCCCTGAGGTCATTTTGTAGCGAAATAGTAGATTGATTCACAAACTAATGAGTCACCCCGAGGACTTCGCTCCCCAATCATCACGGCTGTTACCAAACAAGGAACCCCTGTGATAGAGTTGGCTTTCGGCTTAGCCGGAAGTGGGCCTGTCCAAATCTCCCAGCTGTGCCAGTCAGCTTCTGTAAAAAGGTTCACAGCCTGAGAAACCCGCTGAGGGACTTCTCCTCTGTCCTCCTCCTCTTCAGCAAGGTCAATGGAGCTAAGAGCCATTAAACACAGTTCAAGTTCTCTTCGGACCTCAGTGAGGGACCTGAATTAAAGAAGTGCTTGGGAAAGAGACTGCTTTCCTAAACTAGGAAAGTTTGGCTTGCAAGCTATGTTCCCACGTCTACCGCATCAGGAGAGGTAACCCTAAGGAGAACCAAGCCTCGGGAGGAGGTGGGAGTAGCAGGCCAGATGGAGACTCTGGGTCAAGGGCATCAAGTCTGCGTTATGTAACGTGACGGTGCGGTTCATCATTTAAACCAGGCTACGTCGCAGAGGGTAAAGGACAAAGAGGCAGCAGCTAAGACATAGGGCCAACCCTAGAGATATGGCAGTTGGGGAAAAGACCTCTAGGTGTGCCCTGCCCCTTACAGGCTCAAAGGCTCAACTGGAGCCGAGCACCCTGGAACTTGTAACCAGTGCAGGGCTGGGCTCTGACAGGGATGGCTCCAACTTCCATGAGACACTCAACCAGGCCCAGAACACTACCCCTGAGGTGACGTCTCCATGGAGATCAAGTCTGGGATGCCTGCCACCGCACCCCAAGGGGTGGGGCTGGTGGAGCTGCCCATTGACCTGTCTCTCCAGGGGAAACCTCAGTAACATTCTCACTGCTGCTAGCCTTCTGGGGGGGATTGTGGGCCAGGTGCTGCTCCCACTTGACTTCAGCCAACTTAGGGTGGCCCAGGCGTCTTCCACAGAGGAATGTCCGCCTCCAACCCACAGATCCCAGTTGAGCAGCTGCTGGGTTCTCCAGAGATTTGGGGTGGTGGTCTCTGCACGGATGGCCTTCCACTTGAGAGAGGGATCCAGGAGGTGGCGCAGGTGAGGGATTCAGTGAAAGGACCGAAGGCTCTGAAGGCGTTGTGATTGGCACAGCCCACCCCTCAGCTATCTTCCCTGTATCTTCAAGCTTTGGCAGAGGGGGGCGGAGGCACTCTTATAGACAGCACAGCACCAGCGCAACTGATGTTGTTCAACGAAGCCAAAGAACTGACATCCCCTTGGGCCCTGTGCCAAGTCAACTGCTCCCATTTAACTAGGCTTTCTTCTTCCTCTTCCTCCTCCTCCTCCTCCTCCTCCTTCTTCTTCATTCCAAAATTATTCTCTGAGTTTAAGTGGACCTTTGTGAGGTGTGTTTCTTCTGACTCTTAGTCTTTGGAAGGGCACTGTGGAACTCTCCCAGCCCTTCTGTGCAGGGGCAGCGGTCAGCCAGGCACTGTAACTTTCTTCTCCAGGGCCTGCTCGGATCCACTGTTGGGAGGCAGGTGTCTCTTTTTCCTTGTGGGAAGAGGTGGGATGCTCCAAGTGCCATCCACCTTCAGAGTCTTCTTTTTGGGGACGGTTGGGGAAGGGGGGGTTCTGAGGGCAGCTTAGGCACCTTGCTAAGATTCAGAAAGCCCTTCCGTTCCAAGAGCCACCACTTAAAAAAAATTTTTTTTAATTGGGAGCACTTCCAGATATAACAATCTATAATTCAATTAGATCAAGCATAATTGTACAATTGCTGCCACCATCAATTTCAAAACATTTTCTTTCTTTTTGAACTCCATGATATCAGCTCCCCTTTACCCCCTGGAACCCTTACTATATTTATTATATTAAATCATATCCTATTAAATATATTATATTAGAATTGTTTGCCGTAACTTACACCATCCAATGTATCCGTTCACCTACAATTGTTATTTGTTCCCCTCCAGTGGGGTTATACAGACATCAATGCTATTAATCCCCCTCTCCTCCCCTTCCCATACTCTCTGGGAATCAGTACTCCCATTACTATTTCTGAGGGGCTTTGGCTTTCCTGCAGTGAATGATCTTAAGTGTACAAACGAACCTACACAGGTCTAACAAGATTAATGAGGTAAAACCCAGGCCATAATAGTACGGGGAGGAAATGTTAAAGAACTGGAGGATAGTTGCGTGTTTCATCAGTGCTATATACCGGCACCCTGGCTCCACCGTCCGTCTGTGGAGCTACCTCTTCATGACAAGACTTTGGTGCTTGGAATTCCCCCCCACAGGCCTCTTTTAGGAGGTTCCTGCAAATCCAGATTGAGTACGGTGGACTGGACGTGAGGGCAGGGGATGCTCAGAGAGCAGGTGGAGCGCAGTTCCCGGAGGAGCAGAAGAATATGCATGACTCAGCCTCTGCTGAATCCCAAAGAGCACCAGGGAGGTGGGGGGGGGGGGGGGGGGGGGGGGGGGGGGGCAGGGTTGGCTCGCTGACCCTTCTAGCCCAGTGAATGTGCAAATTTTAGGGAAGACTATCAAGACCTTTAGTGTGTCAAGGGTCCGGGCACTTTGTTGTTTCTGTCGTTTCAGACCAGTTGGTCAACAATTAGCTTTAGTCAAGGAGTCCAGGATGAAAAAGGATGCTTGGAAACGGATTGTGGTAGCAATTGTACAATTCTGCTGGACGTGATTGAACTACGGGATGGTAGGATACATGTATTCACTCCCAATTAACACTAAACAAAAGAAAATTAACTTTAAAACCAAGAATGGTGGGAAACGGGGAAATTAGGTGAATGGAAGCCAAGCAAGCAGAACTGAGACCACAGGACCTCCCCCCCCCCCCAAGAAACCCTGTGGGGGGCCAGCCTCCACAACTGAACGGGGCCTAAGGGATGGTTGTGAGATTGAAGCACAAATTAAAGAGATGGCAGACAAGGCATGCAAGGGCTCACCTATACAATTGAAGACCAGAACCAGAGAGAGAGCAAGTGTATTCTCTCACAGGCATGCAAGCCACGTCACACACATATGTAACAGGAAGGACTGCACATTAGAGGCATACAGGTAACAGGAGGAGGACAAGCTAGTGGTGTACACATGACAAGAAGGTACCCACGTAGCAGGATGGGCAGTTCTAGAGTTAAGAGGCAGCCTGACCTTGGCCACCCCTTAGCTGACTTGACCTTAAGTGTCCCTGAGCTTATCCAGGGAGGCAATCTGTGATCCTTATCAGAAGGAAGTGGGCCCTACTTGGGGTTAGATAGTTTGATAAGGCAGACAACCTTCAGGCAGTTAACCTTCTAGAGCAGCCGCTCTCAACCTGTGGGCCGAGACCCCTTTGCGGGTCGAACGACCCTTTCACAGGGGTCAGCCTTCACCAGAAACCCTGTGGGGGACCAACCTAAGACCATCGGAAAACATGTATTTCCCATGGTCTTAGGAACTCAGACACCGCTCCTCTATCCGTCTTCAAGCGGGTCCGCCAACATGCAGATACGCCCACCTACGAGTACCTGGTGTGAAGACTGCTACCTATACTAGACCATGCTTCCAGACAACATTTCATTGATTCGTCATTAGAAATAAATACTGCACAACATATAATGACATAGTCTTTGTGATTAATCACTATGCTTTAATTATGTTCAATTTGTAACGATGAACCTACAGATATTTACATGACGATTCATAACAGGAGCAAAATGACCGTGGTGAAGTAGCAAGGAAAATAAGGTTCTGGTGGAAAATAAGTTCGACGTGAGGAACTGTATGCAAGAATGGTGGCATGAGGAAGGTTGAGAACCACTGCTCTGGAGTATAGTAGCAACCACGTGCCTGCAAACAGCACCTTAATACTGGCATTCTTACGGAGCGGACATTGTGGAGAATCACTTGTACTTCAGAGAAGGTTGCTGGGATGCCCCGCCAACCCACGAGCGTGGGAGCCTCCCTCCACAAGGGTCTCAGTCTCCCAGACACCTTCAAATATGAGCGTCAAGAACTTTTCCGCATGCACTCTCTTCCCGGTTCGCAGTTCCCCACGAACCCCCCTTCCTCAAACTCAAGCCCGCTGTCCTAAGCGACCCTAGAGGACGGAGTAGAACCGCCCCTGCAGGATTTCCCAAACTGCAAATCCCGACAGGAACAGATAAGACCCGCCTTCCTCCTGTGGAGCCACTGGCGGGTTTGGCGTGCAGAACCTGAGGTTAGCAGCCAAAACGCATAACCCACTGCACAATGAAGCAGTATTACTGAAGCAGGCTGGTGACTGGAACCCAGCCAGTGGTGCTTTGGGAGAAAAGCCGTGGGGATCTGCTTGTGAACATCGGCCCCTGACAAGTCTGGGGAGCTCAGCTCGTCTGTCCTCCCGAGGGGCTGTAGGGAGTCAGAATCGATTCAGTGGCCAGAACAAAAACCACATCTCGTCTAGTCCACGCTCATACCCACCCCCCCAAAAAATCTCTTTGGGCCTGGTTCTCTTTTGGAATTGGTACCCCCCCCCAAGTTCCCCCATGCCTCCTGGGGGGGCACCCTTCTATGATGACACCCGTGTCTGGCGTCTGTCTCACCTCCCGCTCTTCTCTCCCCCCAGGAGCCCAGGATGTGCGTGTCCGAGTGCTGCCCGAGGTCCGAGGCCGCCTGGGCAGCACCGTGGAGCTGCCGTGCCATCTGCTGCCGCCGGCCCCGGACATACGCATCTCGCAGGTGACCTGGCAGCGCCTGGATGCTGCCGGGGGTACCCCAAACGTAGCCGTATACCACCCGTCCTACGGCCCCAGCTTCCCCAGCCCCAAGCCAGGCAAGAAGCGGCTGTCCTTCACCGCCGTCGGGAAGGGCCCAGAGAAGAAGCTGCAGGACGCCACGCTGGCCTTCGAGGGGCTGACCGTGGAAGACGAGGGGAACTACACTTGTGACTTCGCCACCTTCCCCAATGGCACCATCCGCGGGGTGACCTGGCTCAGAGTGATTGGTGAGCAGGATGGGATGTGGGGTGGGTGTGTGGCGGGGGGGAGGGTTGGGTCCCAGCTGTGACACTGGCTCACCACCTGACCTCCCTCACGGAGCCCCTGCTATGTGCCGGGCACCAGGTCCTGGTGGTCCCCGGGTTGGATCCTGGCCTCCAGTGTGGGAGACTCGGGTTCCAACCCCAGGCAGGGCACCTCACGCACAGCTACCACCTGTCCGTCAGTAGCTGCGATGCCAAACGGGTTTGTGGAGAAGCTTCCTTGCTCAAAGGCGCAGACTAGGAAGAGAAACCAGGCCATCTACTTGCCATATCAGCCAATGGAAGCCCATCCAGTCAGGGGCTGGGGGTGGTGCAGGAGCGGGCAGCATTTCCTATCATGGGGTGGGGGCGTCTGCTGTGTGCCAGGAACATTCCAGGTCCTGCGGGTAAAGCTGAAGACAGACAATGCCTCGTGGCGCTTACAGTCCAGAGAGAGGGTTCCAGAAAGCCGGACTCACTGCCATCGAGTTGATCGGGCTCACAGCCACCCTATAGGACAGAATAGAGCTGTCTTGGCGGGTTTCCTAGGCTCCGACTCTGGGCGGAAGCAGAAACCCGCATCTCTCTTCCACGGAATAGCTAGAGGGTTCAAACGGCTGGCCTTGCCGTTAGCAGCCCTGCTAGGAAACCCACTCCGTCCCCAGAGAGTGGGCCTCAGAGGCACCACAGAAGCACAGAGGCTGTCGGGGGGGTGGTGGGAAGTGGAACAGGGGGGCAGAAAGGGGGGCAGGCTGCCCTTACAGCTAGGCAGGCCTGGGAAGGGTTGATGGGGACCTGAAGGCACAGGGAAGGGGTGGGGGTGGGGAGGTACAGGGGTGGAGAGGGAGAGCAGTCTCCCAAGAGGAAGCGGGGCAGGTGCAAAGGTCCTGAAGCAGGGCACACGGGATATTTGCAAACATCCAGGAATTGAATGGCACCCTGGCTGGAGATGCAGGAAGTGGGAAGAGCAAGCAGGGAGGAGATGGAGGTGGTGATAGAGAGGGCCAGGCGTGGCCTCCCTCCCGGGTCACAGTGCCCCTGGCTTTCCTCTGAGCTGAGGAAGGATGTGGCCTGGCTTAGTTTTCAAAGGACCCCGAGTCCAGCCTGTGTGGGTGGGGGTGTAGGATGGAAGCGGGGCGCAGGCATCCTCTGGGTAGGAGCGGGTGGGGGGACTGGACCAAGGTGGAGGCAGCAGGGTTGGGAGACAAGACCTGATCCTGGAGGTCAGTTAGAGGTGAAGCCAGAGAACAACAAAAAGTCACGCCCAGAGGGGCCGTTAGCCTGGGGTGACGTGAAGGAAGGGCCATGGTGCCTGGTGGGCGGGGCATGGTCAGGGAAGGCCTCTGACTGGGTGTGTGTGTGTGCTGTGTTCTGCGTGGAAGGGGGAGCATCCCGGGGTACCACAGAGGGTGGCTGTGCCCTCCAAGGGCGCAACTCGGGCAAGAGCTGGGAGGTACAGGCCAGCTTGACTCTTAGAGGAAGCGGGTTAACAGACACACACATACACACACACACACACAATCATTGAGTCCATTTTGGCTCATAACTCACAGGAGAGAAGAGAGAGAGCTGCCCCTGTGGGTTTCCAGGGCTATAATTCTTTACCAGGGCAGACAGCCTCCTCTGTCTCACGGAGGGGCTGGTGGCTTTGAACTGCTGACCTTGCGCTTAGCAGCCAACCCAGCGTAGAACTCAGTGCGCACCAGGTCTCCCTCTGTGGCTTTGCTACAGCTCTTCCGTCTCTGACTCTCCTCACGGGACCACTTTCCCTCTGCCAGCCTCTCTCCTCTGACCCCCAGTCATACGGGATGAAACCCCTCACGTCCCCTGCAGCAAGACCTCATGTGAACTGGCCAGATGTGGCTTCCACACAAGGTCAGGCTCACAGGTGCCAGAGGTTAGGGCCTAGGCCTTTTTTCTGGAAGGCACCACCGAGCTCATGAAGGTGGGTGAGGGGGTTGAGCGATCCTCCCTCGGGCTGGAGAACTCATGGGTCAGCCTGCGTGGGCCTGAGAGGCCATGGGGAGGAGGCTGCACACCATCCTGCGGACCATTAAGAGCCATCAGACCAGCCCAGGTTGGCTGGTCTCCGACAGTCTAGGCAGATGAGTGGAGACTCTCTGGGGCATCCGGGGGGCACGGACCAAGAAGAAGGAAGTGGAGTGGGGGCGGGGAGGACAGAAGGGGAATGGAGGGCCTTGGTGTGGACAAGGGAGGGGGCAGCCGTGGAGGTCCAGAGACCAGAGGAGGCATTTGTAAGCCCCGGTCTATGTCCATGGAGAGTGGGGAGAACTGGGGGTGGGGTGGGGGGGTGAGGGAAATCCCCTGGGATCCCTTCCAGCAGGGGGGTGTCCAGCGCAGCCACCAAAGCAAAATCATGAAGACTTCCCAAGGTGGGTTTTTTCCTACCCCCTCCAAAAGATGCCCTTTCCTACTGCATCTCAGCAAAGCACTCTCCCCCTGGGGTTCCCCTGGAACCCCACCCCCCAGGAACTTCCCAGAAGACAGATTCCTCAGGAGCCTCGATTTCCCCCCTCTCAGCCCCAGAGAGAGTGAGAAGTTCCCCCGCACCTTCTCTGAGAAACCGCTTCCCTTTCCAAGAGCACAGAAACCCCGGTGGTTTTCCATCTCCCAGAACTCCGTGTAGAAGGCTCTAGGCAGCCGCCACGGCTGCCGCCAGTCCTGGGCCACCGGCAAGGGCGTGGGGCAGACCCACTCTGTCACACAGAGGTCGCCCTGCCCTGGGATGGGCATGGATATAGCCCGGGGCCAAATGGCCAGGTGTGCGCCCTTGGGGGCGGGGGCAAGGGCAAGGCCCTGAAGGGAGATGGGACAGGAAAGCCTGCGAGGTCAGGGAGGTTCCCTGGGGAACGAGGTTGAAGGGAACGCGGGACCCTCCCAGGCAGGAGAGGCAACCGGGATGGGATGCCAAGACACCCCCACCCCCTTGCTGGGTGGGGTCATGGGCCAAAGGCAGCCCGAAAGGGGTTGGCCCAGGATGAGTGATACCGGGCTTTGGGAGCCTCGGAGACGTCTGAGATCTGTGGTCCGTACTCGGAGACAGGTGGGAGGAAGTGGGGAGGCCTGATGGAGTCTTGCCAAGCTGGGGCACGGGGCTGGTGGGAAGGGAAAAGCCATCCCAGGGCTGAGATGCCCAGAAGATCCACACACAGGTCTTGAAGGCAGCCGGAGCCCCGAGTCACAACAGAGGGGACCATGTGGGACCGGGGGGCGCATCCTGAGTGAGTGCTGGCATGATTATGTTCCGCTCAGAGGTTTTCTGTTTTGTTCCGTGTCTCCTCCCCTTCTGTTTCCCAGAAGGACCAGGGGAAAGGGCAAAGGATGACCAGCGTTGGCAATCTCAGTTGGTAATCTCTAATCCCACGGGGGCCACCTCTGTTGACAATAGGAAGTGACTTGGGGCCAGGGAGGGGCAGCTTGTCAGCTGTTCCTTTGAGCCTCTTTTGCCCCCCCACCCCCACCCCTCCGGGGTTTTTTAAACTCCTTTTTTATTATTATCATGAAATTGGCTTTGTTTTTGGATCCCATCTCTGCTTTTTCTGGCTGTGCAGGACAAAACAGGATTATTTCCTGTTGAACCTCACAAAGGCCAGGGGACTGCTGGAAAGAGGGAATTGAAAAGTGATGGAATTTCCCACAGAGAACGGATGCGCGCGCGCGCGCGCGCGCGCACACACACACACACACACACACACACAGCCAGGTGGGAAGGCATTGTTAGGATGGATACCCATTTGCCAGAAGTGGAAACTCACGTGGGGAATAAGTGAGATGCCACGTTGTTGGGACCTTGAGCCCAGGCCGGCTGTGCCGCCACCCTTCCCGGCCTAGCCCGTTTCTGTTGCAGCAGCTGCAGCCGCAGGCACGTCGTGACCGGCCCCTCCATCCCTTCTGCAGCCTCGCCCAGGAGCCACGCCGAAGCCCAGGAGGTCACCCTCAGCCAGGAGCCCGTGCCCGTGGCGCGCTGCCTCTCCAGCGATGGCCGCCCACCCGCCCGCATCTTCTGGTCGTCGCCCGTGGGCGGGGACGCCACCGAGAGCCAGCTGCCAGGGTCCGTGCCTGGCACTTTCACCGTCATCAGCCGCCTCACCCTGGTGCCCTCGACCGGAGTGGACGGCACGAAGGTCACCTGCAAAGTGGAGCACGAGACCTTCCAAGAGCCCAGCCTGCTGCCCGTGACCCTCACCGTGCACTGTGAGTGTACTGGGCAGCCCCCTCCCCCCCCACTAACCCCACCCACCCTGCGACCTTCTGAATGTGACCTCCATTGACTTTCCTGGGGGAGACATTCAGCCCTGCCTTCGCCCCGTGGTCTACACTCTCTCTCCTGAGCCAGCGTTTCCATTGTCCCTACGTTCTCTGTACTGGTTTCCCTGGATAATGTCTACATGACCCGCTCTGTGTATGTATACTGGCTTCCCCGGGCTCTCTCTCTGCTGTCTTCAACAGAGTGGGCTTTGCCACAGACACTCTGTCGACTTCCTCCAAAGTCTACCTCCAGTCAAGTCATGTCGGTAGCTTGGAATCAACCACACAGATAGTATTTACACAGGAGGAATTGGCAAACTCTAACCAAACCGCTGCCATCGAGTTGATGCTGACTCAGAGTCTATAGGCCAGGGTAGAACTGCCCCTGTGAGTTTCTAAGACTGTAACTCTTTACAGAGAGTACAAAGCCTCATCTTTTTCCTGCAGAGCGACTGGTGTCTTTGAACTGCTGACCTGACAGCTAACAGTCCAATGTATAGCCACTAAAAGACCAGGGCTCCTGCGTTGTCTCCATCGGCTTCCCTGGGCACTGTCTGTATTGATGCTTAGTGCCTCCACACTGACCCCAGCCCCCCAGGATCATTCAAATCACCCTGGTCCAGCCCTGCCAATACTGACCCTTCTGGAAACCGACACCCTACCATGCTACGCACGCATGCTGGTGGGGCAGCATTGACACTCTCCAGCTAACGGACAGGAGAGGGAGAAAGGTGTGGCAGTCTGCTCCCGTAAAGATTTGGTCTCAGAAATTGTATGGGGTAGTTCTACTCTGCTAAGCAGGAGGTGGACCATTCAAACTCAACAGCCTGCTCCTGGGGAGGAAGAGAGGAAGGCTGTCTGTCCCCATCAAGATTGACAGCCTTGGAAACCCTGCCCAGAGTGGCTATGAGTTAGAAGTGTCCCTCTAGCAATAGGGTTGGGTTTGAATGTCACTCATAGACCCCCTCCTGGGCAGTCTCCATGTGAACCCTGCCAACTGGGAATTTCATCAGCGCTGCTGACCACTGTCCCAACTACCCCCACACCCACCCCTACCCCCACAACTCAAGTGTTTCCGATGTTCCCTGGGCAGCGCCTTCGGACACCCGACGCTGGGCCAACATGGCTCCCTGGGGCAACAGCCATTCTCTGCACCAGGTCCCCCAAGCATCCTCTTAGGAAGTGCAGGAAACACCATGTGATCTTTGGTGGCTTCTGAGCAGGCCTGGCCCTGGACAGTCACACCCCATTCCAGTCCTTTCCCCAGTGACTCACTGACATTCCTTAGTGGCTTTACCCTGACTTCGGCCAACTGAGCTGCACTGGCGCACCCTTGCCAGTTCCCTCGCTTCCATGCCCTTAGGATGCTGCTGAGCTCTTGCCTGTCCCCACTTCTGGAATGCTCGGTGTCTGAGGCCCTGTGTCCCTTTCCCCAGACCCCCCAGAGGTCTCCATCTCGGGCTATGACGACAACTGGTACCTGGGGCGCAGTGAGGTCGCCCTGAACTGTGATGCCCGCAGCAACCCGGAGCCCACGAGCTACGACTGGAGCACGTGAGTCTGGGTGGAGGCGCACCTGGTCTGAGGGAGGAGGGGCTGGGGGCCTGG